GCAAAGAGTTCTCCAGAGCAGAGACTGCTTCTTCTGCACTCGTATAGCCAGAAAAAGGAAAAGACAAATTCGAAAAAGTATTCGCCAATATTGTTGTGAAGAAATAGTTAAGCGCGTTCATTTACGCATCGCTAAACCTAACGAATCGCTAAAAATCGTTCGAAATGATTGTTTCTTTCAGTACTGACCTCTGAGCCACAATATACGTAATGTTGTAAAAATATTACAATACGACTTGCAACAATTGCCGGTTGCATACCAACTCTTTTGGTATGCAGGGATGTTTCGTTGTTATCTCTGAATTGGTGGACTGCCACGACATGCTGAAGCAACTCGCAAGCAAAAAAGGTAGTACTCTGTCGGGTACTTGGTCAAACTGTGTTAATGGTACTGAATTCACAAGAACCGGGTCAGCCTTATTGTGACGTACGTTGATTCACAACAGTGTCTGATAGAAATATGAATCTTAACTAAATGAAATCACTACTGCGATGACGATCTACGTAACTGCAAGTCTAAAAAACTAGTTCGTCTTCACAACTATGATATGGTGTCCATTCTAAACTGAACAGAGTTGAAGGTATTGACAGGTTATTTAGCATATTACCATACTCTGCGTTATCAGTTCAATAGTATAAATTTCTCTGAGCAGACAGAATATTGGTTTCGATTAAAGACAGATAAAATCTCTAGTCATATTTTGTATGACTCTCGGGCCGTGTTCTAAACTAAAAGTAGAATACTAACTCATGCACTCTATATTCGTCTGATAAGTTGAAAATTTTCAGTGGGATATATTTTGGACCTAACTGGAAAAATTGCGTGTGTTGACCTATCTACTTGATCTCTAAGATCTCGTAAATTTGTGCAGTTGCAGATACCGCCTAATGAAAAATCGTGGAATACCATCTGGTTAATAAAATCGAAATTATGTTTGAGTCTAAAACCCTGTGATGTTTTTGGAGGTGATTCGAGCTTTCGATGGCACTTCAGATGAGTGTATATTCAACGTCCGTCTTGGTGCGTTGACTTATTAATTCGTTCACTATTCTATGGATGGAATGAAGACTAAGTGAACTTCGTAATTTTTTTAAAAAGATTTTAATAATGAGTGCATGGACGTAAGACTGTGCCCGAGAAAATATTTTACAATATTTTATAATAAAAGAAATGGCTCATGTGGATAATGGTTGTCCCTAAATGCTATAAACCGGTGGCAAAAGCATTTGTATGATCAGGTAGCCATTGCGTAGAAATTGAAGCCATATTTGAATTAAGAGTATAACACGCTTCCCAACTACGTCCATAAATGCATGGATACGAATGTTTATTATGTACGTATAATATACGTATATAGGATGTCAGGTATTAAAGCGACATATATACGTAATGTGATTTTTTAGTTGAAGACATTTTCTCCATTCATTGAAGAGGGCATTCCGTTTCCATACTGATGCTCTCTACTAAATACCCTAAATACCTAAATAAATTATTAAATTGATATTTATAAATTTATAAATCAAGTTCTTAAAATAATTATTTTTTTTAGTAAATTATTAGTCATATTTTTCTTAAAAATTTGCAACACAAAATACTTTGTGGTATTGAATTCAGTGGATTATCTACTTCCGTATCTTGAAAGGTCTGTATAAATGATTCTAGCTTCCTACTCTATTTTTTTATATATAAATTTATTATTTGTTGCGATAATTCAAAACAAAAATTAATTTTCTGAAGATCGACATTCTCAGAAATTTCTTGACCTGAGTTGATGATAAGCAAGCCATATTCTGTAAACATATTGATGTGTGGATTTCTACCGATTTACTTTTTTAAATTCTAAATAACTTTTCATTGTTTCCGATTCTGACTCATAAAAGTTTTTTTTTAATTTTAATTATAAATTATCTGAGAGCTTTTGGTTACAAAAGCTGCAATTGTTCTAAGCATGCTGCCAAAAAGTAGGCTGCGAAGTTAAATCAAAAGCGTTTAAACCTATACAAATTAGTAAAATAATGTAAGTGGAAGATAATGTGGTACGCTGTCCCATAATAATATAGTGTATATAGCCGAAAGCCTAAGAAGTCTCAGTGCTGTGAAGTCTTTTTTTATATAAAATTGATCACAAGTAAATTTTTTTAAAAAATTTATAAATATAATAAATAATAACTATATTTGACTTTTAGTTGGATTGTAATAAATAATAAATTATGTGCCTCTTGCTTTATTTTGGTCTCTTCCTACAATTTCTGAAATCGAATTAAAGAACCTATTTTATCATTACACTCTATGCTCTCTACAAAAAAGTTGGCGTTGGAATAAAATCATATGGCAAGAGGTATTTAATAAGTCAATATTTACCAATATACAGTGTCATCTGTCAGTGAATCTGCTTCTTGAGAATACCTTGCCTTATTTGGTATTTCTGGACATACAAGGCGGTTGTAATAGCAGAAATAGTTGTATTTTTATAAAAAGTTATTTTATAAACTAGATCCCACAAATACTGACCTAGTATTCTCTCAATTCTTTGGTTTTGAATGGTAGGTACATCATATCTGCCAGACTATTCTATCGAAAGGAATAAATTTTAAATACGTTGTGGTCCTACGAAATGGTGGAGATTGAAACCCTTCTAATAAGTACCAATTTTGATTTTTATATAAAGAATGTATATATAAAGAATGGTGATTTTATATATATGGTAGAAACAAATTTAACACACCTATGACTGTGAGCAGCTACAAATAGTGCACTAGATAATGCACTACTTTAGTCCCTTCTTTGAGTAGAAGAAAAATTTTTTCTTAGAATACCAGTATTCAGCCTCTTTAAATATTTTGAAGTTATTTTTAATAAACGGCTTGGAAGACGTGAATACCCAAAGATGACAATTAACATTTAACATTTTTTCATTTGCTATATTAACATTTTATTTCTATAAAACATTGACAAAACCATTGGTTATTATGTATAGAAGTATTTTATGATCCTAACAAATAAGCGGACTATATGTCACTAAGTGTAACAGTGTAATCAAATATTCTGCACAAATAACATGAAAACTACTCTGCATTTCATACATTTATAGAGTGTAATGAAATTTTCAGTGCTCTTCAACTTCTGGAGATATTCTCCTGAAGTTAGGGCTAACAACCTAACAACCAACGACCTTAAGAAAATATTTTTTTTGCCATTACTATATTGAAGTATATAACTAGTCTTGTAATAAATATCATTATTCTGTATAACAATGATTTTATTTTATTTTTAGTGATGTGGTGATACATTAGCCCAGTTGTCACCCATACAGTAAAATCTTGCGTTAAGAGAGATACCTTGAAATTCGGATGAATGTGCTTTTATTTCTTCAATGGTACTACAATTACAACTCAGTATCGAAGCAAATCGATAAGTTCAATTGTCATTTATTAATTTTCAGTAATCAGTCAAGAATTTGTTTTATAATTTTTGAAAATATAGCTATAGAGGGATCAGGTATTTACAACTCTTCAGTTTATATATCTAAAAATCTTAATATACAATAGAAAATTTTATAGATCATTCTTTTCAGAAATGCAACAAGTTATCTATAATGGAAATCTTGAACTGACAAAACTGCTTGAGCAGTTTAGTATACCTATTATTTCTGAAACTGAAACTGAAATACTATTTTTATGAAGAGTGTTAAATACGAAGAGTTATTTCTATCAATTGAGTCAGTGACACATGTAAAATTTTGAAAACTTCTTTATATATGTGAGTGTGACATATGTGAGTCTCGTAAATTATAAATATTCTTTCACAAAAACTTAATTTCAAATAAGTATTAAATAATTAATTATAATTATTAGCAAACAAATTCAATATACAAAGTTTAGAGGTAAGTCTAAGTATTTCTGTCTAGAGGTACCTCAATTATTCTAACTCATTAGAATAAGACTGCGACCCTAAGAGATTTGTCAATTTTGAGATATGTAGTTCCTTGCTGAGCCCATATAAATAAATTGATAATTGACAAAATAATAACAAAATATACAATACCACTTGTTATAGTTTTTAAAAAATATATATCAAAAATAGTTGAAAACTAAAGTATGAGTTCAAAGTTTTTTATTTTGTTTTTAATTTAACAATATTCATCGCATTCAGCTAATCAGCTAATCAGCACTGTTTCGAAGGAATCATGAGACAATGAAATTGTGATCACATTGCACATTGCAATACATATTTTAAAATATTTTAAATTTTATTACGTGTCTGAAATGTTACTAATATTAATAATAAATCACATATGTATCGATTTTGTTTATATCTTGCTGGAGTTTACAATTTTATTGTAATTTCAATAATATTTGGTATGTCTCTCGATAATGCTTTGTGTATATTTATAGGTTTTTTTAAAATTAAAGAATTCATAAAAAATTGTAATAAACATATAAAAAATTAAAAATTAAAAATAATTAAATAATTAAAAATAAACATTAAATTGATAAAAAAAATCCATTAAAAATGAATAGAAAAAAAGCACCTCATGCACACATGCACCCTTAATTAATTAACTAATAGTACTTAATAATAATCACTTTGTATTTTTTATCTGTGGATTACAAACGCATTTAAATGTATCCTAAGGTGTAAAAATAGTCATAACAGCACGTACATACAATTTGCTACCAATTAAGATGTAAGTATTAAAATAATATATAAAAAATACTTAAGTTTATTAATTAATTGATAATAATATCGCATTGCTAATTTACTAAACGGAACGAATTATCAATTAAAATACATAAAACAATAATAAATACTCGTATTTGTCAATTGAGTAAAATGATCCTGATGAAAATGATTATGTTCACTAATTTCTAGTACAAATTCAGTTACAAATACAATTACAATTATTCATATATATATATATATACATATATATATATATATATGCAGACATACTAATAATAATCATAATATTAATATTAATAATAATAGACTAACGATATTTAACGTATCAAATGCAATTTCCAGCGTAATACGAAGTACGCGATTATACGTAGAGCGATGAATGTGCCAATTAGTGCCACCGCATCGACCCAGTAAACTGCAGTGTCCATGGACATTTCTTCGAGGAACTTTTTGGGGCTGCGGAAGTGGCAATACATTTCACTGCATTGTAATTTAGCACGATCCATGCCATAAATGGAGACCATAGCGCCTGAGATAAGAGATAAGTAGAGAAGCAATTATTACCAAAGGAATTATGTGATAAATTCTCAACGCTTACCTTCAAAGCCATAGCGTACATAGCTGACATAAGTCACCCATTGCAGATAACCTGGTATGGTATCGAAGTTGACAAAGAAGCCCGAAAACAATATTGTAGGTATTGTCGTGACCGGGCCTAAAAATACGCCTGCCTCGATATTCAAACCAGCGCCGATAAGTAGACCGAGCGATTGAGCCACCAGGGAGGTAAGGACACAAATAAAAACGAACATCGATACCCGTTGCAATTCCATAGGTTGGGAAGTCAAATAGTAGACAACAATCACATAAACGCTTGAGAAGATGATCTGCATTGAAATGGAGAAATTAAAACAAAAATCCAAAGGGATATTTATATTTCTATTAATTTACCTGAAATGGCAGATCAGCCATGGTTTTGGCAAAATAGAATGCTTTCAACGAATACCAATAGTTGAGATGTTCTCGCACAAATACAGACATCTCGGTTGGAACTGTAAATTAAAAAAATGAACAAAATGTTTTTTGTTAATAATGGAATAAACTTACATGTTAAAATAGTTGGCATCATGGCCGTAAACATGGTGAATAAAGTTGTAAAGAAAATGCAACCAGCATTGCTCATTACTTTGGAAGCCTCATTACCAACATCGTAGTAGATCATGCCAATAATTGCACCAACAATTATATGCGATGCCAGACGCATATGCGTCAGCATGCGATCACGCATTATTGTAACGAAGGAACGTTTGAGCAATATCCAAAATTGTGTCCAGCCACTTGTGGGGAAACCCGACTTATTCGGTAATGTTATAACACTCTCATGCGAATCCAATAACGATGTAGTGCAGCCAGCCGTATTAGCATTAGTTCCCACTGCATGGGCGCTCTGACCTCCCTTTGAACTGAAGCTGCAGCTATCATCGTTGCCATTCGCGCCAAACGGTATGGCACCAGAACTACTATTCCCATTGCTAGGCATGGACATATTTATAACAGTGCAATCAGATTGTTGTGATTGTTGTGTTTCTAGTTTCGGTGGTTTAAGTTCGCCCAATTCATCTTCGGCTGTTGGTAATTCATCCAGTTTATTTTTCTCATCTTCCAGTGTTACAGTTGTAGTGGCAGTGCTGGCATTTACACCACTACTGCAACCACCACCCTTAGCTATGTCATTTGCTATAACCTTTGCATTAACCAAACCAACACCATAGTCTTTTTGACTGTACTTCTTGCACATACCGCTCTTAACAGCACACACCAGCTTGCTCACACATTCGCCGTACTCACCCGAGGCTACTTCGAGCACATAATCAGCTGGATTGTGATATGATGGACAATCGTAACCTAATGATGATAAAAATGGCACCAAGCCGCGTACACGTCCTTGATACATGCATTGTCCCTCGGCCAACATATAGAGATGATCAAATTTCTCAAATAAACGTGCAGAGGGTTGATGAATAGTGCAAACTATAGTGCGGCCACCACGTGCTAATGACTTGAGCAATGATATTAACTGGAAGCATGTTGAACTGTCTAGGCCAGATGTGGGCTCATCGAAAAACATAACAGGTGGATTGTTGACCAATTCTAATGCTATAGACAGACGTTTACGTTGTCCACCCGAGAGATTACAAGTCTGAGTATTGCTTGATTCCATTAAGCCAATCGTTTCGAGAATTTCATTAACAACAACTTTTTTGGCAGCCTTGCTCATGTTCTTACCCAATTTCAGATTGGCAGATATCATCATTGCTTCACGGACAGAGAGATTCGCAATGAGCACATCGTCTTGCATAATGTAACAAGACAGCTTCCGGAAGCGACGTAAATTGCGTTCTTTGCCATTTATCAATACTGAGCCGCTCAATTGAGCCGTTCTGTAAGATGGAGAGAAGACATGCAGTTATTAAAATAAAACTTCGTCAAGGATATTTATTTATAGAATCATAGAAAATGACTTGAACGTATGGAACTGTTGTGATTAAATGTCGAACGTTTAATAGTTGGACGAAATTTAAAGTTAACTACTTAAACACAATACCAAATAGCTCAGAAAAATCTATCACGAATGATGAAAAATTATATGTATGTATGTATGTATGTATGTATGCATGTATGTATGTATGTATGTTATATCCTGATTTGATAAATTCATCAAAACTTTTTAGTGACCTTTTTAGATTTTAATCAAAACTCTATACGTTAAGTCTTGAAGCCTTAAATTTTAATAGGGTAATTGGTTTAAAAGTGATTTGTGGTGAAGCCACATTTACTTTCCCAACTAGTCCACTTTTTAACATATTGCTGTGTTCTAAAAACAGTAAGGACCTCGTGTATTCAAGGAAGTCGAATAAGTTTTTATGTTGCATACGAGTAGAGCATAAATGGAATTGAAAGTTAGTGTTTTGATTGTATCTTTCGACCTCAATGAATTTCATACGCATTAAATCTGAGAAGCCCCACAAATCCAACAATAAGGAAAAAAAATTTGAAGGCGAAATAACTAATCTGCTCTATATGCATTAAAAAAACTTATTAAATTACAACGGCACGGGATTACCGCAGAGCACCTATTTTGAAATGTACATCGCTTTACCTTTATTTATTTGAAAGAACATGTGTGTGTTTACTTACTTGTAACCTGCCAAAATATTCATAAGCGTACTCTTGCCAGCACCAGATGGACCCATAATTGCAGTAAGCTCGCCATTTCGAAATTTACCCGAAACGCCTTTCAGTATTGTTTTAAAGCCACGTCGTCGTCCTTCCGACACCGAATAGGATATATCACAAAATTCAATATCAACTGGTGGACGCTGCGGTAGGTGTGATAATGAAACTGTGCCCTTCTTCTGTCCATTCGGACTGGTATTATTTTGTATTTTGGTAGGTAGTATGTGATTACCAGATATGCCACCATTGCATAGATTATTTTGTGAACTGAAATAAAAGCAGGAAGATATGGGAGATTATTTTTTAACTTCAATACAGATAGTTTACATATGATGAGAAGATGAATTTTAAATATTTTATGGTAGAAGGAAGCTAACCTTGCTTGTATGGATAAGCACTTGAGTTGATGGTAATAAGATCTAATTGATTAAGTCTTTTTTTAATTATTTTCTGTTTTACTACTGATAGGAGGAAGTATTATTAGAGAGTAAGTAAACTATTAAAAAAATCTGAAAGATTTAAATATTTTTGATACATGTAATCGAAAAGTTATATTCAACTAAATGAAAAATTGTTAAAACAGATGCATATGCACATATTGGATGATATTAAAAAGTATTCGCGGTTTCTTATCTTAATATAGTGTTAGTACCATATATCGGGCAACACTTATCCGATTTTGTCATACGAATACGTGTTTGAAAGATGACATTTCAGACTACATATTCTAGTGAAGTTATGATTACTGATATATCTTAAGAAAAACGATGTTTGATGTCGAAAAAAGTGTGGGTTTGCAGTGATGGTGCTGTGATTGAACGCCAGTTTCACTGTTGAAGAAGCACATCACTCTGGTCGGCAAGTCATTAAAACCCGCTTAAATTTTGCATCTGGCAGAGCAACACCGACACGCAAGTTGTCACGAGATAGCGGTGGCACTAAAGAACAACCAAGCATCTAGCTTGGAACCATATCAACATACAGTGAAGACAATAAAGTGAAATAATTTTATTAGAGCAAAATATGAAACAGATAACAGACGACCATCGTCAGGTTGTCTTGGAATAAGACTGTTGTCTTGGAGAAGCAGTGAAAATCAAAAAAATGTGACGGCAAGGATCTATTGAAAATATATGTTTATTAGTTTTGGTTCATTCAAATGTTTCAAGAAAATTAAACTGCACTACGTGTATTTCACAAAATTTTCCAAAATATCGAATGTCATATCGTTGTAGATATGTCATTGTTATTGTAACGCACCATTATGTCAGCACTTTGTGCAATTGGATGCAGGCTATAATTCAAATGTCTTACAAACACCTATGAAGAAATTTTACGAAACTCAAATTTGAAGTGTTGTTTCAATAGATACATTACCAGAACTACCATTACTTAATATATTTGCGTACTTTTTGGTGTTCATACACGGTCGCTGATTGCTGCTCATCATTGTTGTTGTATCTTCAAGTTCCTGTCTTTGCAGCACACTAGCATAGCCATTTTTGGTTAATTTCGTTTGAACATACGACAGTGGACGTGTCCGATTAATACTGCTTAAATAGTTACTATCACTTTGCAAGGCATCCGTTGCATAGGCTATCGCATACTCAGAACGACGACGTTGCACTTCTTCCATTGCTAGCGCACTCTGTTGACTTCCGCTGCCGGTATGTGCGGGAAAATTACCCACAAAGCCCATATTGTTAATACCCTCCGCAGCAGCGGAATCATGTACGATACACAATGGTAGTTGGGTGGCATCATTTGTATTTCCTGCTGTGTTGATACTACAATTCATCGCTACAGTTGTTGGCATTGGGGTTGATGTAGTTTTTGTTGGAGTTGGTAATTTTGGTTTGTTGTGTACATTTTTGTGGATTTTCAATTTGGGATTGGTATCATTTTCAAGGCTATTGGCACTGCTACTGCACTGATTATTGGAGTTCAAAAGAGGTGATGGTATGTGTGGTTGTTGTTGCTGTTGTTTGGATGAAATATCATCCACATTAGTATAACAAATTGTTGTGTATGACATATTTTTTATATATATCTTCCGTATTCCGTTGTAGTTTTTTTCCGTATTTTTTTTTTTAATTTTTTTCCTGTTTTATATGCATTGATTTTTAATTTTCTTTTGGAATTTTTGATTTCATAAAACTATTTTCAAATTTAATTATTATAATTAAATCACTAAATTTATAAATTAATTTGAATTGCTTCTGTTTTTGCATAGAAAACTTTTTGTCACGTTTTTATAAATACTTTCTCACATCACTTAATGTTTTTGTTTAGCATTTAAAGTCTTATGTCTTATGTCTTATTTTTTACTTTTATATTTTGCGACTTTTAACTTCTCATCTTATAGGAATATTTACGGTCTTCTTGGTCTGTAATATCTTCTCCAACTGCAAGCTCACGTCCGTCGAAACGTATTAACTGCTTACTTTAGCCGTCCGAAATGCGTTTGTTTCTGTGAAGATTTTTTTATTTCATTGGCACTTGACTGTCCAGTACTTGCTTTTGTGCTCTGTCATTTGCCATTTGTTGTTATTATTTTCATTGTTGTTCTTGGTGTAGATGTTGTTGTTGTTGATATGAGAAGCATAGAATGAATGAAAAATATTTCAAATGTACACTCAACTTGCTGCTGCATAACTTTGAATGACATGGAACCGCCGTCAATGATGCTAATAACATCAATTCACCCCAAATAGCCCTGCAATACACAATTGTACACAATCATATGCAGTCATTCTCATTCATACTCATTCATACATACACACACAACACACACCCTTTCCCTACATTCCATCATTACCATAGCCATTGTTGTTGAATTTATGATAGACACTTAGTAGAGCATTTTTCGTAGTATGTATTGGGGCTTTGCTTGAGTTCTAAGCTGATGGTTCGGCTCTTAAGTGAGTTTTTCGGGAAGGTGGCACTATGCGTGCCATTATTTTGGTCAGGGAACGCAATATTTATGTCAGAGCTTTTACACTTTGAGTGACAGTAACAAACTGTTGTGATTACCGTACATCATTTGAATTGCCTTCGAGTGTCAGTGCCTTGATTACTTGCATGTAAATTTATTTATCATGTACTTAAGTGGACAACTGCAACTAACTGAAGGGATGTAGAAGTGTAGTATTAAGGATGGAAGGATTATGTACTATTTACTGGGATTATAATTTAACTGCTGTATTTAACTTGAGGAATATCAGTGTTTTTTTTTTTACTTAAAGGAAAATTATCAAGCATGAGAGGACGATTTTTAGTTTAAATGGACCCAGAAAATCGTAAACATATATATGAACATTAACGTAAACATATAATTGTGAAGAAGAAAAGGTCAGAACAAGTATAAGGTGTCAGTACTATAAATATCAAATCTTTCTATGAATTTTCTGAACTCATAACATTACAACCTATAGTGCATCAAATGTAAAATGAAGACAATATAAGGAATTTGGTTTATGGATTATCGCCTAAATCAAAGTTATAATAAAGTAGCTTTTCCGTAATATATACAAGACATTTGTATATCTATTAATACTACTACTGTTTCCTTACTCCCTCACGAATTTTTTTCTTGGAACAAAAATCATCTGTTTCCATCGTGCTATATATGTAGAAGATATTCCGTTACTGCCTACAAATTATAAGATTCACATATAGTTAAAGAAAATTGAATATGTTAAGGAAGTATTAAGACCAAAATTAAAATCATGACATGATCAAGTAATATTATGACAAAAAACGGCAACTATATATTTTTGAAAAGCACAACTGTGAACCGTAACTTATAGGATCTAATTCTGTTATAACTGTATTATAGATTCGATCTATATATAATTAGTTAACATCAATATCTCGAACAAATAGAATTTGATACTTCCATAATCGAAGCATCGAAGTAATTGTTTAAATGTCAACTAGGCTCTAAACTCTTTATGAAAGCCATAAAAAATGTTTATGCCTAATGAATTAATTTTTGAAACTCTGATACAGAGGTATATGATTCATGGCGCTGACTAATGGTACTTAACTTTTAATAGATATAATTTTAAAACAATCATTTTAATTCATTCACCATATGTCTCTTATAATCGTACGATTTTCTATATTAACCGTCATCAGGTTTTCCTCAATTTCTTTAATCCATCTCTTTTTATTTTTATTGCATTCCCGATCGGACATAGTTTTATAGTAGTCTTGGTACAGATTTCTTTTCTTTTATCAGTTAATATGTATAAGTAACATTTATGGTTCTGATTCTAGTGTTTATATTCGGGTTTGGCATTTTATAATATGGATCGTTTAACAACCGCTAGACATGCCCAGTTTGTTAAAACTTTAGACAAAAATTTAGACAATTTTTTACATCAAATTTCTTTAGTCAAGTTGGATATGCCATTGAAGTGAATTGCTGCATATAAGGCAGTGAACATTTACATATTACTGCCGGTAGGCCATTGCATTCACGAAAAGTAACTATGTGATACTGTATGGCCTTTGGCCTGGAGGTATGATAACCCAGTACTCTTTAAAGATGATTAAGGTGTGACAAAAACTGTCAATTCTAATTGCTACAGCCACAAAATAAATTTTTATAAAAACGATGGGAAGATCTTGTTAGTGTAATCTCTTTATCGGGCATCTTAGTTTTTTATTCCATTTAAAAAACTGGACACAATTATTATAAATGTATTTAAATATTGAGTTGAAGCATTGTGTAGCCTTTGCATACATCCAAGAGTACACAAAAATTTGACCTTTGTATTAACATTGGCATAGTCTCTAAAGAGAAATCACGCAAGAATGAACTCAATCAGCGCGAAGAATTTTTATTGACATTTTTCATTTTCAATTCTTAAATGGATTTCATCGTTCTCGCCTCATTTACTCCGTGCAGATTTGTCGCACCCACTTTTACACTTTTATTGCAACATCTCCAGTCATTTCGAGCGACGATAGTCATTTTAATGGCAAAGTTCGCACTTAAAATATTTTCATTCATAAAACTGTGTATATTCAAATGGAAGAACGAACAACTGTTAGTGGGGAAGGAGGCGGAGGTGCACAAACCTATTAAATGGATGTGCGTTGATAACGAAGTGCCGCGCCGCGCAGTGATGGGTGCTTCGCAGGCGTTGAATGAGCGCAATTAGGCGACCAATGATTACACACGCATCCATGAAATTCGTTTTTTTTGGCGTCCGCATAGAGCATCCAGAACGACTCAAGCATTTCACGGGGAGGCCATA